TTTTTTTTTTTTTTTTTTTTTTTAATTTTTTTTCCAAGCATAATCTTAAAGTACAACTTTAATAGGACCCAAGTGAAATAGTCAAACCTGCTATAAATTGGATGGACAAACCAAGAAGGTGAGTTGATCAAAGTGAGATCCGATATCTGAACTTGATCAGAGTACATGATCTCGATCAGATATGGTCGTGTTTCCTTGAGTTCCCCTTTCTTAAATTTTTCCCACCAAGAAGATCCCTGCCCGTCGATTGTACCGTTGTTACCTACACCATGTCAGCAACCCAACTTTATTTTCTATAAATGTTTTTCCTATATTTTCATTCACCTTAATTTTTTTTTTATTTAATTCTGATATCACCTAAGCATATAAAGATTATAATTTTGCAAATCATTTAAAAAAAATTAGAATTTTAAAAGGTAAGAGAAAAATAATCACCTGTGATAACCACATCGGTGAGATTAGTTCCAAAGATGAGGCTGTTGTACCGTCCACCCGGAGCATCTCTTCCTCTCCCATAAGATGGGAGAACTTCTACAAGTGGCCATTCTGATTCTTTCTATACCATTAAATTATGAGGAACAAATTTAACTTATTTATTTTCTATTAAAGAATAAAATTCAAATCTACCGCTCACAAAGTTGTTAGCTTTATAAAAATAGGTAGAACCTGGGATGCAAGAATTTTTGCTTCTTTATCAATAAAAAGTGTGAAATGGCTAGTCAGGTTAAAACTTCCTGTCAGCCATTTCCCCGGCGGCACGATCAATTGCGCACCACCATCCGCCGCAAGTGTGCTGAGATGTTCAATCGCTTTTCGAAACACGTTAGTATTTGAAGTTACTCCATCGCCGACGCCGCCAAACTCCGTTAGCAATGCCGAGTGTTTTCGGCAATTGATGGCCTGAAATTTCAAAGAGTTCGAACTTAGACGCTGATTCATAGCGTCCACTGTGGCTAAGCTCACCAATGCCAGTACAATCACGACTGAGATTCTCGCCGCGGTAACCTGTCAAACAAAATCAAAGATGATTAAATCTATTTTTGTTTCTTGATAAAATAATGTTGAAAACGACCGTTAGGTTTATTGGTTCATCGTTGTATTGGTTCCATGAAAGAAACAAAGTTTTTCAATCAATCAATCCCCGTTTTGAACAAAAACTCATAATCATTTTAAGTAATTGGAAAGTATAACCTATGAAAAGTAAAATAACAAGCCAAGCCTAAAATTCAAAGAGAAAAAAAAGAAGAATTACATTGATTTTTGTGGGTGTGTGAGAAATTTCCATCATTGATTTTTCTTTTTCTGAGTGAGTTTATGATTTTTAGATTCGAGAAAAATTATTTTATAGGATAATTTAGGAATAAAAATAGGAAAGGAATTTATTACTATTATTACTTCTGGATGAAAATTTGGTTGGTAAATGAAATGGTTGGATTTGCCTAAAATTTTAGGCCAACCACCCGTTTAGGAAAATATTTTATTGTTAGATGAGGCAAATTTATTATTTGATAAGGATTTATTGAATTAAAAAAGTTTACCATCTAAAAAATTAAATTGGATCGAAAATAATTGTTTATTTAATTTTAAATGATATTTCTATATTGATTTGATTAACCTTTAATTAAATCAGTTACGAGTTGAATATGGGCGGAAATCTTTTTAAATATGGTAAGTATATCACAATATTAATTCTCATTTATTCTTTTGATATTTTTGTTAAAATTTTCTTTTATATTTTTTTCTTTATTAAGAATTTTTTTTAAATTATGTTTAAATCAGAACTTTATCAATTTACATTATCAAATCTATTATTTAATATAGTAATTAGTTATTTCTTTTATCAATAAATAATTATTATTGAATGAATCTTTGAAATTTTAGGGCACATCATTTTCAATAAAAGAATATAAAATAAATATAAAATGAATATATGGTAAATTTTACACATTTAAAAATAAAATGGGATGAAAATTATAAAAATGTATAAGTATGTGCTATATACAAATACATTTTATGTATAAATATATGTATATGTATGTATTTATACATTATGTACATGTATGTGTAATGTAATACATACATATACGTGCACATGGTGAGCCACAATATATAGTGATCCATGCATGTCATGGTGAGGTACGACCCATGTTTGAGTTAGCATGGGACACCTAACTCCAATAATGATACAAAAATTTATTAATAAAAAATTATTAAACTATTTAATTAATCAATTTTCATTCATTAATTCTAGGACATTATATTATAGACCTATAGTTACACTCTTAGGTACTCTATGACAAGGTGGGTCCATTATTATAATCATTATAAGCTAATCAATTCTTCATGAATTGTTCATATTAAAACTAGATCAAAAATTTGTTTTACCCATGCAATTACATTTTTTGTGTTAATATCATCGATTTTCTAATGAATAATTTATTTATAATCTAATTATAAACTAAGCCCCTCTCAGGACATTGAGAATGTGGGATCCAATTCTTCAAGTCTTGAAATCAGCACCTAAGGAAACTATTCAACTACTTATCTTATATGGGAAAACGTGAATTCCATTTCATGAAATTATGTTTCGAGCTACCTATTTGACCAAGTCCCCCGAAGGGTAGACATATTGAATTGGATACAAAAGTCATTATCACCCATACAAATCAGAGAACAACACATAACATGTAGGAATTCATAAATCAGTGAGGATTAAGATTGACTCACATATGATCATCATGCAAAATATTAATTTTCTTAATTAATTGATTTACAAAGAGAAATTAAATATTTTGTGTCTAGTCTTATACATATTCATTGTATAGGATAACCACACTCACATGCCTCCACATGAATAATTTGGATCAATAGTGTTACGCATATAATAAACTCAACCTTATTCTTTTACTACAAACCCATTAGATTATTACTAGAACGTGATCCTCCATTAAATGAAGTACATATTGTTCAAGATTATATTAGTTGTACTAACCAAAAATTAGCAAAAAAAAAAAAAGAAAAAAAAAAGAAGTTGTCACGACACAATTTTCGAGGCTTCGAAAAAACGAATCGTGACTAAAAAGACGAAATCGAAAAAAAAAGATAAAGTAAAAGGTAAAAATACCATTCAATTAAAACAAAATAGAGAAAAGTTTTGTTTCAAATTAATGAAAAGGAATTACAAGTATAAAATGAAATACAAAAGACTATAAGATCGACAAGGGACTGACGCTCCGGAACGATACCCCTATGTGACAGTGTAACTCTCGAACACCTCCCCAGTTCGACCAGTACCTTAAAAAAGAAGGGAAAACGAGGTGAGTATAAAAAATATACTCAGTAAGCAACCTACTTGTAGGCTTTTAATCGCATCCAAGATTAGGAGAGAGCCACCAACTATACTCTAGACCCTAGAGTCTCAATACTCTCAGTACACAGATCGAGGTGGAAGGACTTAAACTTTGAAGCGATATTTCAGCGTTTGAGGATGAGGTCCTCCCTCATAACTACATGTACCCCTCGTACAACCCAGCTAGAACTAGTCACTGCATGGTCAACGTCCTTCTATAGGACGGACCCATCATGCAGGCACTGCATGTTAAGGATATTTAGTAATAAATTATAGTTTACCATATATATTTGATATTTTATTATAAGGCAAATATCTAATATTTGCCTTATTATCATAGGTATGTTTCCATTTATTGTTATTTCCATTTATTACTATTTCCATATCCTTGTAATTTATTTGATTATAAATAAGATAACTTTCACACCATTTAGGTGTGGTGGATTAATCAAACATTCACATGGTATCAGAGCCCTCTCGGTTTAACAACCCCGATCCTTTCTTTTCAATGGCTTTTGAATCCTCTAATCTTCTTCTCCACCACCCCTGCTGGTTTTGACGCCACAGGGGCAGTCTTCATGGCTGCCGTAGTCAGAGCCGATTGATTATTCTTCGGCTCCACCCTATTGACNTCATAGGTATGTTTCCATTTATTGTTATTTCCATTTATTACTATTTCCATATCCTTGTAATTTATTTGATTATAAATAAGATAACTTTCACACCATTTAGGTGTGGTGGATTAATCAAACATTCACAGCCACCAACTATACTCTAGACCCTAGAGTCTCAATACTCTCAGTACACAGATCGAGGTGGAAGGACAGCCACCAACTATACTCTAGACCCTAGAGTCTCAATACTCTCAGTACACAGATCGAGGTGGAAGGACTTAAACTTTGAAGCGATATTTCAGCGTTTGAGGATGAGGTCCTCCCTCATAACTACATGTACCCCTCGTACAACCCAAAGCGATATTTCAGCGTTTGAGGATGAGGTCCTCCCTCATAACTACATGTACCCCTCGTACAACCCAGCTAGAACTAGTCACTGCATGGTCAACGTCCTTCTATAGGACGGACCCATCATGCAGGCACTGCATGTTAAGGATATTTAGTAATAAATTATAGTTTACCATATATATTTGATATTTTATTATAAGGCAAATATCTAATATTTGCCTTATTATCATAGGTATGTTTCCATTTATTGTTATTTCCATTTATTACTATTTTCATATCCTTGTAATTCATTTGATTATAAATAAGATAACTTTCACACCATTTAGGTGTGGTGGATTAATCAAACATTCACATGGTATCAGAGCCCTTTCGGTTTAACAACCCTGATCCTTTCTTTTCAATGGCTTTTGAATCCTCTAATCTTCTTCTCCACCACCCCTGCTGGTTTTGACACCGCAGGGGCAGTCTTCATGGCTGCCGTAGTCGGAGCCGATTGATTACTCTTCGGCTCCACCCTATTGACTTCCAAATCACCTTTCGTCATACTCTGTACATACAACCTCACCTTTTCCAACCAAACAATATAGTCTCTCTCATTTTCTTCCCAATCAACCTTCATCCTTCACATAAACCCTAACCTAAACTTATCAACCTTTTGCAGAGATTTACCTTCGGAATCTGGGTGCCGCACTGGCCTATTCGCCAACCAAGTTGCCGCCGCCCTTCCTGCCAAAATTGGCTTCTTCGCTCGATGAGGCGACTCTTCCGACTGCCCTTCTTGCCAAAATTGGCTCCTTCGCCCAATGTGGCGACTCTTCCGGCTTCAACATTGTCTTTGTCCCTTGCTCTAGGTTTCCCCTTCTACTTCTTGGGGTTAGAAATATTCTCACCAGAGCCAAGGCAGCATCGTCGCTAAGCGACAATCCCTCTTCATGGGTTAGACATATTCTCGCCGAAGCCAAGGCAGCATTGCCGCTGAGCGGCGATTCCTCTGCAATTTTCGATGGCCAAGAAAGTGTTTCTCTACGCCTCCTCTAAACCAGGTTGTTGACTTCTTCAAGAAAAGTGTTTCTCAACCTCTTTGAATTTTTCAGATTCAAGCTTCACGTTCGTTTAAATCCGACGCTTAGCTTGCGGTGGGGTGTTAAGGATATTTAGTAATAAATTATAGTTTACCATATATATTTGATATTTTATTATAAGGCAAATATCTAATATTTGCCTTATTATCATAGGTATGTTTCCATTTATTGTTATTTCCATTTATTACTATTTCCATATCCTTGTAATTTATTTGATTATAAATAAGATAACTTTCACACCATTTAGGTGTGGTGGATTAATCAAACATTCACAGCCACCAACTATACTCTAGACCCTAGAGTCTCAATACTCTCAGTACACAGATCGAGGTGGAAGGACTTAAACTTTGAAGCGATATTTCAGCGTTTGAGGATGAGGTCCTCCCTCATAACTACATGTACCCCTCGTACAACCCAGCTAGAACTAGTCACTGCATGGTCAACGTCCTTCTATAGGACGGACCCATCATGCAGGCAACCATGACCCACTCACGTGATCAACATCTTACCATAAGACGGATCCCCATGCAGAGTAGTCGATCTACCACCGAGTAACACTTCCCTAACAGGCTTCTCGCCAAGCTCAACAGTACCACACCGGAGTAGGAAGGAAAGAGTAACACCTCCCTAATTGGCGTCTCGCCCAGCTCAACGGTACCACACTGAAGTAGGAAGAGAAGAGTAACATCTCCCTAACTGGCGTCTCGCCTAGCTCAACGGTACCACACCGGAGTAGGAAGGGGAGGGTAACATCTCCCTAACTGGCGTCTCACCTAGCTCAACAGCACCACACTCGAGTAGGAAGGGAAGCGGGGCATACTCGAACACTAAACCAAATACTGTCGGCCAAGAGGTCATCTCTCTACACCTCGGGGTTCTAATGTGGTTCTTTATATCTCAAGGGTAGTTAAAACCATTGAGTTAGGGGTCCTGGCTTCCAGATTCACTCCATCAATACTTCCAAGTCCATAACAATCTAGGGTTAAAGGATCTCTCCCTCTAAGCATCACTCACGACACCATGGACTGTAACATCAAGAAGGTTCCCTAACTAAACTCAACTCAATCCCTACAAGAATTCACCATAGGCGTTGCACAACACTACAGCTTATCAATCATATCATAAGTTCACACAATCATTCAACAGGAGTTTATGTATGATTAACAATGCATTCAATCATACAAGCTCAACGAGGTGGTAACATCCATCGACACCTGGAGCGCAGATGCACAAGTTATTCAACGGAAGTTCATGTAAAATTAACCATGCATACAATCATACAAGCTCAACGGGGCGGTAACATCCATCAATACCCGAATCGCAGATACACAAATTATTCAACAGGAGTTTATGTATGATTAACAATGCATACAATTGTACAAGCTTAGCGGGGCGGTAACATCCATCAACACCCGGAGCACAGATACACCAAACTCTCCCGTCCGACAACATAGTATGAACAGATAAAAGCAATAGTAAGATAGACCAGGAAGCATACCAACATCGAGTACAAAATCTCATCAAGGCAACAAGTCCAACAGATATATTTTTAGTTCCCTAAATACAGAGGATCATTAGATCTAGCCACCCAGGGATAATTTGCTCTAGCATGTATGCAAAACCAAGTGCACACTACAAGTATTACTTCCTAAATCCGTGTGATTACTTACAAGTATGTCGTGTGCCTTCCCGAGCTTGATTACAGTCGTAACGAAGTCCAAAATTACAAATTATCTATTCATACATCTAGTTCACAATAAAATAGGATTAGCACTAAAATCGGGACGAAAAACGGGTGAAAACAGGACACTCACGCGCCTACACGCGCTTACAGGGGACTCCCACGTGCCTGCACACTTACCCACGCGCAGGGCGTACACGCGGTCAACGCGGGCAACGCGCGGGCAAAGGCACGTTTCCAGCCCCAGCGGACATAGACTTACCCCTCGAATTTTCTGGGCGTGACACGTGTCGTACAGGGACTGGCGATAGCTTTCGGGTTGGACCGCAGGTCATTGGGTTGCTTCATCGAGCGCGGGTCGGGTTTTCAGGTCAATCGTCGAACGCGTGTCAGCGGAGGCGCCAGACGCGTCTCTCCACTAGTTGCTCGACACGTGTCCTCCTGTTCTAGAGCGGTCGCGTGTTCGTCGCCGATAGCCTAAGTTCATCCAATTTCCAGATTCTCGTCAAATTCTATATCAACCTATTTATTTTAGATTTTTTTATTTTCCAAACCATAACTCAAATTAAATCGATTCCTTCACGAGAATTCAAGATCTCAAGTCCACCTATCCAGATATATTTTTATTATATTTTTTTTTATACTCTCAGTACTTAATAATCGAAGTTGAAAACCGAGAAAAATTCAGTTTCTTACCGTAGTAGGACAGTTTCTCGATTTTGTTTTCCAATGCGATTTTTGGCCGTGTTTCCTATTGACTTTTGAGCAAAAACGTCGACGAAAAAAAACGGCTGAAGAAAGTTTTTTCGAAGAAAGTTTTTTCGAAGAAAAATAGCGAAAGTAAAAGGAGAGAGGGAGAGATTTGATGAATATTCGATGGTTAATTATCATCGAGTTGAATTCTTTAAATAACAAACCTAACCATAACAAACCTAACCATAAAAATAGAAAAGAGTGGGCAAAAACTTGAACCCAAAGTTGGCTAAAATGGCCCGCAAAAATTAGGCTATTCCATTCAACTATGAGCGTGAATTCAGAAATTTCAAAAGTAAAAAACAACTTAACCAAATATAAGGACATCATAGCTTTTATCTGACAATCTCCTCCTAAAATTTGTGCTATATTTACCTTATTATTTGAACTTTGATCTTTGAGAGTAGTTCTTCAAATTTTACCTGCGCCAAGGACTTGGTGAAAATGTCTCCAAGTTGTTTCTCTATTCAGATGAAATCAATCTTGATGAGCCCTCGATCTGCACATTCTCGGATGTAGTGGAATCTGATTTCTATGTGCTTGCTCCAGTCGTGCAAAACTGGATTTTTGATCAGGGAGATCGTAGCTTTGTTGTACACGTATAGCATTGGTGGATCGCTTTCTCTCCTGATGAGTTCTTCCATCAGTCGCGCAAGCCAGAACCCCTTGAGTTTCTGTCATCGAAGTGGCGATGTATTCTGCTTTGCAGGAAGACAAAGCAACTACCTTTTGTTTTGTTGATTGCCAGCAGATCGCGTCGCCTAAGAGGTAGTAGATCATCCCGCTGGTGCTCTTACGATCATCAACGTCACCGAACATGTCACTATCACTGTAGCCGACCAGCTCAAGCTTCGTTTTTCCTTTTCCTGCGGTGTATCTCACACCCCAGCCACTGGTTCCAGCCACCGCGCAAGATGCGCTTGACAGCCACAAGATGCTTCTCCCGAGGTGCTTCCATAAATCTACTCACATATCCAACTGAGTAAGCAAGGTCAGGGCGTGTGTTTACCAGATAGCGCAGGCTCCCGACAAGATGCTCCTCCCGAGGTGCCTTCCTTAGTTGGAGTCGGGCCTCCATCGGCGTTCTTGTAGGGTTACTGTCCTCAAGCCTGGTTGTGTCTAGTAGCTTCTTCGCGTACACACTTTGGCAGATGGTGATGTCGGTAGTACTCTATTGCACTTCGATGCCGAGGTAGTAATTGAGTACGCCGAGATCGCTCATCTTAAAGTTCTTTGACATCTCCCTCTTGAACCTTCTGAGGACTTTCATGTCGCCTCTAGTGATTATGAGGTCGTCGACACACACTCCCACAATCAGCCGCTACTCGCCGTGGCCATGCATGTACATGCCATGCTCAGAGGCACAACGCTTGAACTTCAGTGGCAGTAGGGTACTGTCGAGCTTCGCGTTCCGGGCTCGTGGTGCTTGCCGAAGCCCGTAGAATGCCTTGTGCAGGCGCAGTACCTTACCCAGGTTGTCGTTGTCTAGGAAGCCAGGTGATTGTCGACGTAGACGGTCTCTTTCAGCTCTCCATTAAGGAAAGTGGACTTCACGTCCATGTGGTGGACCTCTCAAGAGTAATGTGCCGCTATTGCCAGCAAAAGGCGGACGGATTCTAACCTTGCCACCGGCGCAAATACATCTTCGAAGTCCACTCCTTGCTTCTAGACGTAGCCCTTCGCCACTAGACGGGCCTCGTGCTTCACAACTTCTCCCTTTTCGTCGTGCTTCATTCCTATCTTTTTTGCCATTTTTTCGTCTTTGATTTTTTAATGAACTGTTCCACCCAAAATGGGAATGGGCTAGGGTTATGAACTTTTTTTTTAGTCAAACCGATTCTGATTCTTCCAATCTTGTTTTCCACATTTTTTATTTATTTCCTCTTTTTGAAGACCCATTTGAGCCCTATGGCTCGGTGTCCCGGCGGCATATCCTCTAGACTCCACGTCTGGTTCTCGGTGATGGATGTCATCTCCTCTACATTGCCTTCAGCCAACATGGGTTCATTTTGCTTCGGCGAAGGTGTTCGATTCATCTGCGCTGATGGCATGCAGTTCGGCCACTTCTTCGAGCTCACGCGTCGCTAGTTCAGGTGGTTCACCTCCGCCCACTAGGTCGTCCATCCTCCGGTACCTGGCCACCAGATCATCATCGTTATCGACATCCAGTGTCGAATCTGCAGTCCGTGGTGTTGCGAACTCCACTGGTTCATGGGGTGCACCTGCTGGCAGCGGTGACGGTTCCTGATGCTGGGCTCCTCCTTCTTCCAGCCTGGTAACGAGGTAATCCACCGTGAATTGATTTGGGTTGTGGTCTGCCTCGATCACGTCATTCCACTGTCAGAAGGTGCTTTCGTCGAAGATGACGTCGCGAGACACGTGAGCTCTGTTGGGTTTTATGTCCTAAAACTCATAGTTTGTAAACAAAAACATATTCTATTTCAATAAAGTTTATTTAGTAAAGATTGTTATTGAATAAAGTAAACTTTACGATCATTAATCTAAATCCAATACACTAAGAACAATCTAGCTGTAGTATGATTACTTGAACTATATGTAGAGAAATAAGAGTTGATCAAGTTCAAGTATATAGTCAAAATGATCTATAGTATAAGGATAAGGCTGAGTACCTTATTCTGGGGACACTATGGATGCGGCCCACTTTTGTATATGATATAAACAATGTGATCACTAAAATTGTACATGTGGAGGCATGTGAGTGTGGGCGTCCTATGCAATGAGTATTGCGTAAGATCAGACCATAAAGAAAATCACTCTCACTTTATAATGTCGTTTACTGTTGAGACTGATTTTCTTTTCATTCGATGACCTAGGTAACTCGATCTTAATCCTGAGCTAACCATGAACTCCTGTTTATTTGGAATTATCCTTAGATTTGCATGGGTGAGAGTGGCTCAAGTTCGCCGACTCAATAGGTCTCCCATTTCAGGGGTAAGACTGGGTAAATGGCTGGGGACGTGGGGTGCAAGATGGAATTCACTCCTACCCACTTTTAGGAATAGAAGAGAGCTAGTTCCCTTAAGTACAGACTTCAGGTTCTGAAAAAGGGGCCCCACCCTCTCATTGGCCTAAGAGGGATCCGGTTTACTAGTTGGACCACAAACCAATTGTTCATTAGAGGATCAGTGAGACATAAGAAACAAGAAGTAACTTCAGGGGTAAAATGGTAAATTGACCTAGCTCTAGTTACGAACAACCTGTGAAGGATCGACTTACTAATCATGGTTATATCAAATGGACAGAAATATATCTATAGTGAGGGGAGTGCAACTACTAGGCTATAGTGGAATGTCCTAGTAGTTAACGAATATTGGTTAATAAGGTTAATGAGTTTAACCGGTTAATCTTGGATCGTTGAAGCCCATGATCTATAGGTCCATTAGGTCCCTCTACTAGCTCATAT